CGTTTCCGCGCGGTGAAATCTATTTCAGGTGAAACAAGGTCGCGCGTCAGCCAGTCGCGTTACACATTTTTACTCGGTTCGCCCGAATTACCATAAACCTGTCGAGCATGCGGCCCAGTCTCGTCAAAGCGACGTTACGTACGTTGCATACGACGCTTCAATTATACATTTTGTCGCCTTTCTTCCAGGACGTCGTGTTTCTTTCTTTGCCCCTTCCTCGAACCGATGCAATGCGCGATCGCTATCGATCCGTCGTTAATCAACCGTGCTAAAACACAACGAATCAAGTCCTCCCGGTATTTATAGCGCCACTGTCTGACTACTGACCCTTTCACTGCTGGCACGCGCGTTCATATGCATCAACGTCACTTATCGATCCTAGAGTCATTATGCGAGTCACAATCTCATTACGCTCGACTCGAGTAATCTCTCTTTCTCATAGCGAATGCGTTCTGTATCCGGCGGGCGATCAGGTTCTGCCGGTCCCGCGACACGGAGAAACGCGTATGCAAAACAGACCCGTCTACGCACACGGATGTTTTCCAGACTTCGTTCATTTTAAACACTTTTCCCTTGGAGATTGTACTCGTTCGTATGTTTTCTGTCTCATACTTCCATCGTACGTTCGCGATGATCATGCAATTGGACGTTACGCAACGTTAAATTACTACGAGCTGGTTGTTTATCGACGAGTATTGGTTTCCATTAATTATAATTATCGGCCAATACCGTACAGCTCTTTTCTTTCCCGTGAAACCCGCTTCGAAACGTGTTCCTTACACGCTCGATGAAAGTTTTTCACGGCACAAGTCACATCGAGTGAGGAACCGTTACATAATTGAAGAAGCGGCGTAGCATTTATGCAATATGAATCGTTCAGAACCGCCCACCTAAGCAGCGTCTTTTCACCCTCGTTCCTTCGGCCCGCGAGCTCCTGAGGTCGCTTCCTGATCGCATGTCTCGCGCCGGAAATAACAGCCTATTTCCTCCCACGCATAACCGCAACCTCATGAAAAACGCAACGCCGCAATCGAGCTTAGTTTCCAGCAAGAACCTGTCATCGCCTGATGACAACGGGCCCGTTCATTCGACGCCTCAATGTCGATACCCCGACAGCGTATTTCCATAATATTTCTACGAGATTAATTGCGATTATGTACTTCGAAAAGCGGGAAGGAAAACAAAATTAAAGAAAGATATTCTAAATGGAACGAATCAACTGATTCACATAGATTATCCTGTGGTACTACACATCGTAGTACCAGATCGTGGCGAACGCCTTATACATTTTAATCGACAGGATGATTCACGATGCCAAAGGTGGTATCGAAACAAGACGCTCTCTGTTTTTCAATCTACATTCCGGGAACGTGGACGTCGAGTTAGACGTAGCGTCGTGCACGCGGGTGACTCGTCGGTCGTTCATCGTTCTAGCACGCCGAAAACGTGAAAAGTGTAACGGCACGTGATGCACGGCGTCTTCGTCGTTTCTTTGGTCGCCTTTGTGTCCCAGCCAAGCACCCGCGGATCGCTTGCCTCGCACGTATATTTAGTTTGCCCAGTAAAACAATGCAATTGGCCTCTAGGAAGCGCTGTCCGTAACACGGGCACTTGCCGTCAAAATACTATCCAATTTTACGATTCTACGAACGATGCCGATTATTTTCACTTTGTCGCTTAACGATTTCGGCTGATCGGTTGAATCATTCGATTGCACTTTCGTATACCTGACCTCACCGTTAAACCGTTACGCGAGCTTTTTACGTCGATCAAACGCAAAGAAATCGGGAATTTTCAAGAAACCTATGTCGAATCCAAGATATTTTCGTTAATCCGCGTTTACGTTCAATTCTATACGTAGATGTTTGTTAATGGTTTTCTACGATAGCGTAGTATTACCTATCATAATAGGATATTATCCTTTACTTAGCGATCTAAGTGTACGCCGTGCACACCCCTATTATAAATTGCCAATATAATAATTATTCATAATAAAATAAATTACCTCTCGCCTTTACGGGTTATAACCGAGAGAGGATTTTATCGTCGATTACGGGCAATATCATTATAGAGAGGAAGACTGACGGCGACGCTGCGCGTTCAACGGGCTTTTAAAAAGAATTAAGTAGTTACAGACGTGCCAGCTCAGACGGCCGGCGATGCACGTCTCGCTAATGTCTGAGTCTGATTGCACCTAACTACTTGCACTGTGAAACGGCAACCAGTGTGTTATTCCGAAAGCCTATTACTATTAACGTAATACACTCTCACGACACGTGTCACTTGGTTACCCGTAAACCAATGATTTTCCACGGACAAACCATTCTCGAGCCGAGAGTTTCTTTATGGCCAAGAGAAGGGAAAACGAGAGAGACTGTCACCTCGACTGATTAGATTTCTCGATCTCGATATGTTTATCAACTCTTGCTCCCCTGGGTTGACCAGCGTGTTCATTTTTTTTTTTTTTTTCTCTTTCTGCCCCCACGAAGCCTGCGTATATCGCAATTACATGCCCACGTAACGGTCAGACTGACAGCCGATCGGCTATCGATAGCGCGATGGCGACTTTTAACGGTGCCGCGACACAAGCAGGCATTTAACGCGCGGAAGTCATAATCGTTGATTTACCATTGTCACGGTCGTTACTCTCAGTCGAACCCGACAATCGGTTTTCGCAATTCGACTACGCAGCCACAGGGCAACACTCGGCACAATGCAGCCGAACCAGCGACCGCACCTGCACTCGCTCGCTACACGCTGGTTATATTTGTTCGTTCGCGTACTCTCTTCTTTCCTGCGCGGACAGGTCTCGTGCGGGCCAAGTATGTACGCGGAAAAGAAACGCCTGCCATGCACTCGGCCAACTGCCAGACTATATTTACCTTAACGTACTGATTACACCTGTAAAGTGTCCTATCGAACATACAAGCTATATCGAATCGAACGTTTATACCGCTCTTGAATATGGAACCTGTCGCTAGGTCTGAAGAAAGAAGGGCGAATGAATAATTTATAGGTGCTCAGATGGTTTCACAAAACTGATCTAAGTTCATTCGTAAAGATTTAAAGAATTGCGAGAAATTGAAAATTATTTCGAGCAGGGAGATGACGACGATGATGGTGTTGATTTTAAAATAAAACTAATATAGGGTAGAAACATAATGGATAAAATGTCCACGAATGAAAGTTGAGAGCTAAGCTTTTCTTTTGGAAAAGAATTGATCCGTTCCCTTGGAGGAACGTTAGCGGCCAATCGGCGAGTTACAGCCTCTAGATCCTTTTCACAGCTCGAATCGATTGGCTAAGAAGAAACGACTAGAGGGGGCAATTTGTCCCTTCGCTCTATCGTTCGCACCTCATCTCCATTTCGCTCGCTCTTTCCTCTTTAATGCCATACCCAATAACCTTCTTCATTTTCCTAAGAGCGTACATGCGAATTTATTGCGCACACCATTGTCTTTAGATCTTTGGTCGATTCGATCGACCACAGTCTAAAGCTCTATCATCCAAACTATCCTTCGTCGGCGAAGGACAAATAAATCGAATCCGATTACGTATCGACAAGCAATTTAAAATAGTACGTGAACATTAATCGTCCTAAAATAGAATACAACACGTCAATCCATCTTCTTCATCGATAATCGTCATTAATCCCACCGTCACCACCACCATCACCACCACCACCACCTTTTAACCACAACCAACCAGCCATCAGCGAGCATTGTACAATTTCTTCGTAAACGATGAATTTACCAACTATAATAGGACGGTTCCAAGGTCTTTGTTTCGTTTTCTCCCATTTTTTTTTCTTTTTCTGTTTGGTCTTTTTTGTACTAGATGACTTACACTTGTTCCAGTGATCGTGGCGTTGAGCCGCATGATGCTCGTAGTTCCGATGATGGTCATGATTGTTGTTAGTATCCGCCGCAATGGTGACCGGGTGGTACGGTGTAGTCGGTAGATGGATCGTCGTCGATCGATCTGGTTGATCGTGATCGCGATCGTGATTGTGATCGACGACTAGATGCCTGCCAGTGGTAGCACGCTGATGGGTGGTCGCAGCACTAACTGCGGCTGCTTCCGTGGCTGTATCCTCCACGGTACGCATCGCACGTACGATCAGCACTATAGCGCTTCGTTTTTAGTCGTTTCATTCACCAAATCCAGTCGTATACTCCGGGGATCCCGCCTCGATCCCGTGACTCTCTCTCTTTTTCTTTTCAAATGCCCACGGCGGCGCGCGAACGACGATCGACGGCCACAACGACCGCGACCATCCTACGACGAACGATCTCTCACTCTTTTTTCTTTCTCTTTGCTTTCTTCTTTGTCGGTCAGATTCTCGCTCCTGTGCACGGCGCGGCCGCGCAAGCGCGCACGTGCGCGATCAGAACGCTAAATGGAAGAGCGAGTTCGAAAAGTTACACGTGGTTTGGTATGACAACAGCTGATCTCGCGCCTTCTCCCGACTCTCGACGAGATAACGCGAGAATCGCGTCAAGTTTCCGATGTTTCAAATCGATGGATCGTCTGGGTATTACACGACACAAATAACACATCGATATTCCAAATCGTTTTAATCGTCAGTTCGTGATGATTACGATTGATCTCTCGATGATTTAGGTCGTTTGAGGATGTTCGTGCAAAAGCATCCGCGAGAAACGAGTGAAGTGAACGAGTAAACGATGATGAGCGACGGGTGAGAGTGAAAGGGGATAACTCACAGTCGATAATTCTCACGGCTCGTAAACACCGGGTGTATCAGTCACAGGAACGTGGAATTCCTCGACTGTATCATTATCGGCGTAGGTGAAAACGAGAAACGGGATAATAAACAGAACAGGTACGTGCTTTATAACGTGATCCAGCCGAAAGTCGCACACACACAACTCACCCATAACACATGAAAAACAGTGGATGACACACGTGTATCACCGACCTGTCTGCGTTGTCGAAAGGCTAGACGAATCCTTCCGGAAAACGTCTTCGGAGGTCAGCACTCCACCGAGGAGCTCGAACACTTCTCGCATGCAGAATTCTGTTATATGTTGCCCGCGTTCGCTCGAAATTTATCGTTCCTCCGTCCCCATAGGCGACATGGTTCTCACTGTTATAGTCGTGGCGTTCTTCAAAATTATCGTCGAACTGTTTGAATCGATGTTATCGACGAATCTTTTCCGCATCGGCTCGTCGTACACCGTTCTCTGCGAATAGCAGCTTCCGAAGCTCTCGTTCTTCAAAAAAAAAAATATCCAGGCGGGACGATTTTCTGTGCCGCGTTTCGCGAGGAGCACAGCTCAACGTGGAAGCTGTCAGAACGTTACACGAGGACACACCGTAGTCCCGTACCCGCGGAACCACGCGCGTTCGAAACGCGCTAGTAGCCTCCCTCTTTCTGGTTGGTCACGCGAAACTCAAACACAAACGTCCTTGGCTGCACCACCTTTTCTTCCTCGCTCGCGTATGTAATCCCCAGTTTTCTCGCACTTGACACGCTCTGTCTCACGATTCACGATCCGTTTAGCACACGAAACTGATACACAATTCGTTGACAAAAC